CGTCCTTTCATGGGCCTCTTCAGTTTTGGGAACAAGAAGAAGTCACAGGGGGCCAGATCTGGGGAATACGGTGCCTATGGCATCGTTACTGTGTTGGTTTTAGCCAAAAATTCGCGCACAAGCAACGATGTGTGAGCAGGGGCGTTATCATGGTGCAAAAGCCAATTTTTATTTTTCCACAAATTCGGACGTTTCTGGCGGATTGCTTCGCGCAAATTGCGCATAACTTGCAGGTAATATTCCTTATTTACTGTTCTACCCTGTGGCAAGAACTCATGATGCACCACGCCCCTGCAGGAGTCAAAGAAAACTGTAAGCAAAACCTTTACATTTGATCGAACTTGGCGTGCTTTTTTTGGTCTTGGTGATCCAGAATGCCTCCACTGGGACGATTGAGTCTTAGTCTCGACGTCATAACCGTATACCCATGTTTCGTCACCTGTTATAACCCTGTTGAGTAAATCTGGATCATCGTTGACGTCATTCAGTAGCTCTTGGGCGATGCTCATGCGAAGTTTCTTTTGGTCGAAATTGAGCAATTTCGGAACAAACTTCGCTGACACACGTCTCATGTCTAAAACACTCGTCAAAATTGATTGGCACGAACCAAATGAGATGCCAATATCATCAGCAATTTCTCTAATGGTAATTCGACGATTTCCCAACACTATTTTCTTCACTTCTTCAACATTCTCATCAGTTGTTGATGTGCTGGGGCGTCCAGAACGAGGTTCGTCGTCGGTGTCTTCTCGGCCTTCTTGGAAGAGTTTATACCACTTGTAAACATTTTTTTGACTTAAAGTAGACTTACCGTATGCCACTTTCAGGATTTCAAGTGTTTTGGAACATTTGATTCCATTTTTCACACAAAATTTAATGCAAACTCTTTGATCCATGTTTTTAGACAGCAGCAAATCGTGGAGCACGCAAAACACTTCTAACCTTGATGCCTCTCACAAACAAACCAAACATACCACAAAGCTGAAATTTGGAACGTATGTTCTAGACGAGTGTACCGACATAACCAAATAAAAAAGTCGAAGATCGAACGGACGTAGCCCGCTAAATTTCAAAATTCACCTTACTTTTTGATCACACCTCGTAAATACGTAAAAGTAACTGATGGTATATGTACAGTGCCGGTCGATCGTTTATGCCAACCCAAAACGAAAATTCTTCATAAATTAGAAGTTTTATTGTAAGTTAACAATGAACGTGCAGAGACCAGCGGCAGTGAATTTGAAAGCTCTTGAAAAAAATCTTTCAAATGCCGCATATATCAAATGCGATAGATGCTCTGCAGTAACTTTCTCTAATGATCATTCAAATTTGAAAATTCAAAACTTTTGTTCCTATCTTTGATTTTGGTTTGTATCGTGAAAAAAAATCGTAGCAAAATTTGAGTTACGTCATTTTTTAGGATTTCTTAAGGGCTATCTATAATATGTTACTTATTGTAAATTCGAATTCATCGAATACACCGTGCGCAATTAAGTTTTGCTAGATATTAACCATTCTTTTTAATTTTGAAATGTCTCGATAAATTCGAGAAATAGAAAAATATTTAACTGAAAAAAAATGTTTGTTAATTTAAGTAGAATACAACAGAATTTTTTTAGATTTTTTTTCGAAAAAAAAAATTTTTACTTTTCTTTACCTGATTTGTTTTTACATGATGTGGATCCAATATTGTTATAAAACTGTCATACCAATTTTTCTCATAAAAAAATTCATAGCCTAGCAAATGAAGGTAGTTTATTCGTAATCCGATGGTATGAAATACGGTCCGTGATTCGTATATGACACCGTGTTTTGAATGCGCGCTGGGATTGGGTACTTTAATAATTATACTACATATGAAAGGTACTATAATCAAGAACAAATATTTAATGTTTGTTTAAATTTATTTTTTAAATAACAATGAATATTTATCATATTTAATATACATACAAGCAACATGGTATTTTTTGGTAAAGTTTTTATATCCGTATAGTCCTCATAAAATAACAGTTTTCCAAAACACAATCATTATTATTCTAAGAAAGTTGTATTTAACGTTGGTCGTAAATATACATAAATTTATTGATCAATTATATTACCTATGTATAATAAATAGTTTTAACATATGTAATGATGAACGTTATATCCGCGCACTCGTCTCGTTCGGATGACTGCCCGTGAGAGCTAGCACCTACCGGAGATGCAAAGAGAGCACGGGCCGCGTACGAAGAGTGAGATAGAAAGAATCAGTCTAAGAACGAACTCTTTAAGATACACACGTGTGGTGATAAAACCAAGACCCGTTTGTGAAAAGTTAACGAGATACCACACCGTAACTCGCACGCTTTTGTCGGATACCGGATTCCCGTACAGATTATCGCAAGACTGTTAAGTGAGCTATATCTTCAATAGCATCGCAGAAAGGCATCCTAAGGGAGCGTTCCAACGGAACCTGAAAACCAGAATTAGCTGACTTCATCAAAAACCGGATAAATAGCCTGAGTAACACGCGCGAACAAGAGCAAAATCCGTGAGGTAAGCTGGCCAGTATTGAGTAATGCGTTGCATGTTAGAAGTTAAAACGCAGTTCGATCTTACGTGAGCTTTCAAAGCGAGTAGTGATAATTGCGCGCGTATCGCGAATCCATTGTAGGTGAACGATCGTTGCGTGCGCGAGGCAGCAGACAAGATAGCTAAAAAATACTAGATAGACAAGAAATAATTTCCGTTGCAAAGGTCTTATTTTATAACCAATTATTGGGTCAATAAATGATGTCAATGCGATAAATAGAAAATAGCCTAATCATTGATTAACTCTTAAAAAGCGCCCATTCCCGCATTTCGTAAATTTGCTATCGTCGTAGACTTTTGTGTTTACGCGTCCAATTTTCTGAGCTACCGAAATTCAATCATACCTCCGAGTGAGGCTGAAGCTGCCTAATAAAGACAACAGCATCAATCAACAGGGGCTTTGCCCGGAAGCAAGGGCTAACGCTCAAGATAAGGTCACGGTGCGAGATCCGACGCAGAGGACGCCTATGTGATTTCCCGTGGGAGTAGTCCTTGGTAAAGATACCGAGCACAGCGAAAATGAACGCCATTGCGTAATGTCACAGCTACTCTAATGCAGCTCGCGTTTATTCTCGCGCATGCAAAGAGCCTCGCCCGTAAATCCGTACACGTGGCCCTCTAACCATCATACCCTATTACACATAATAATAATATGATCATTATTAAATAATATTTAACTAGGGAAAAAATTAAACATTACTTTCATCACAGTGTCTACATTTACTTCTAATAAATACTCGGCAAATTCTAGGCATTCTGTTGACAAGCTTGTTCAGCGTATTTTCTGAGATTGTATTCAATACTTCTTGCAATACAGCCCATAGATGTGTCCGTGATGTAGAGCATACTTTTCTTACAGTACGACCAAGTACTTCCGATAACTATTTAATAAGGATTTAAATCTAGAGATTGGGGAGGCCAAACCATACCATTTAAGTTTTTCTCTTTCTTCAAGACTCTTTAGGTAATTCTTACAAAGGTTAAATGTTTGCTTTGGATCATTGTCTTGTTCGAATATAAAATTAGAGCCAATTATTTTAGTTCCTGAAAGAACGGTATGCCTTTGAATACTATTGTGATAGCCATTTTTTTTTAAATTCTATTTATTTTTATAAGGTCGCCAATATGATAACCCCCAAAACATCCCCAAACCATTATAGATCCGCCACCATGTTTAACTGTGGGCACAATACAATTTTCTGAAAATTTTTCATTCGCTCTTCGACGCACATAAATTTATCGTTTGTTTCCAAATGTTCCGAATTTAGACTAGACATTCCATAGAACTTTTTTCCAATCAGTTGTAGTCCAATGTATATATTTTCTAGCCCAAAATAAACTTTTATTTCTGTTAACTTCTCGAAGTAAAGATTTTTTCACAGCAACTGGACCAAAAAGACCATGTTATCGAAGTCTTATTTTGATAGTTGTTTCACGTATTTTCATTTTCAAATTAGCTTGAACTTGAGATTTGATTTGAGTAGCAGTTAATCATCTATCGCGTAAATTAACTTGTGCTATATAATTATCATTTTACTTGGTTGTTACTCTTGGTCTTCTTCACCTATGTATATTTTTAGTGTTATCATGCTCAAGTAATTTACATATATTATAATCCACACTACGTCAGTGAATTTTTAGAATAGATGCAATTGGGCGATTACTTTTATTAAGTTTGTGCAAGGCCTCAATTATTACACGCTGCTCCCTAGATAAATTGATTAAAGAAAGTATTTAAAAAATGTTGGCAATTAGTTTCAGAATAAATGTTACTACGTACATTAACATCACATAAAAAAATTAATTTTTTTTTTCGAGAAAAATCTGGAAAAATTCTTATTAGCAAACATTTTCTTTAAGTTAAATATGTTTCTATCCCTCGAATTTACCGATATATTTCAAATTTGTAAAAATTGTTCAATTTCCAGTAAAAACTCAATTGTGCGCGTTGTATTCGACGATTTCGAATTTACAATGAGAGTTTTAAATGGCGCTTGGAAAAAGCTAAAAAATAACGTATCTCAAATTTTGCTAAGATTTTTTTTTGACGATACAGGCCAGAATCAAAGATGGGCAAAAAGGAATTTTCAAATTGAAATTATCGTTGGAAAAAGTTAGAGCAAGGCATTAATCGCATTTGATGTACGAGTATATGTCATTTGAAAACTCTTAAAAAGATCTCTTAAAAAAAGCTTTCAAATGACATATAAGCACTTTTTACGAGCTTTCAAATGCTTGTTTCTGCTGGTTTCTGTACGCTCATTGTTGACCAACATATAAAACTTCTAAGTTGGGAACAATTTCGTTTTGGGTGGGCAAAAATAATTGGCCGGCATTGTATAATCTTAATTGAATATCCAAAATATTGAGTCTAGTTCACAAATATCAAATCCTATGAATGACCAATTCAATTTACATATAAATTTTAGATATTACGGAGGCAATGAATTTATAGATGAAATCGAATTACTAGCTCAGAAACGGTGTTTAGAAGCTTTTCGTTTATCCTCAGAAAATTGGGGTTGCAATGTACAGCCTTATTCGGGAAGTCCAGCAAATTTTGCAGTCTATACTGGTTTATTGGAGCCTCATGGTCGTATTATGGGTTTAGATCTTCCGGATGGCGGACATTTGACACATGGTATGTAATTTAAATTATACATTATATATTTACCTGTTTTTGGAACATAACATATATAACTACCCTTTTATATAGAGAATAATACTTACGTAAAACATTAGATTTTATTAATTAAGATGACGATTGTTTGTAGGACGACGACAATCTGATGATAATTGTTCTATTATGCATATCGTTTTATTCAGTGTACAAATACAATTGTGTTGTATAAATATTAACCGATTATTTATAATATATAATAAATATAATTATCGGATTAAATTAGGTACCTTTACATGATGAAAAAATTGGAGATGTAATAAGCATGAAAATTCTTTGGTCAAATACTATTAAATTAGATGAGCAGGTGATCATTTTATAGAGTACTGTTTCGTCTTGCGCATCAGCTAATAAGTAGCTAATAGATAAAATGTTCCAATATGTTAATCTAGTGAATAAGCTCAATAAAGAGATCTTATAGAATAAAGTCGATACAGTACATTTAGTTATGTAGTGTAGTCTGAGTTAACTGCGTAGCACGCGTACTGGGAACGGTTTTAATGTTGAAAATGGGCGTATTGAGGGGTAGACTCAAACTATTCCGTGAAGTCCTGAAGGGGAAAATTTGTACTTTAAGATGCTTTAAATAGTTTTCTGTGACAAAATTTATTTACGATGCTACATAACTTCAAATGTTAAAAAACAGTACTTTTTGCACTTTTAGGTTAGAATATCTCAAAAACCTGACGTGATGGAACAATTCTGACACCACATTTGAATTCAGCGTGTCAAAATCCTTCGGAAATACCATAGATGGCTTATGATATAAAAAATGATCTATTGTTTGTATACGTGTGTTATCACTGTTTGTCCTATCACAACTGCATAACAGCAACCCGCTACACACTCGAAAATGAGGAAAAGTGCTATCAAAACTATGGCACTACCTTACATATACGCTTAGATGTGTTAAAACGCTTGATCAAAATCATTACCATGTAAGGAGCGTGACGTCATATCTATGCGAAATCCATTGTTTAATAATACTAAATATGTGATTTCAAGCTTATTCAATGAACAAAAACACTTTCAGTTAAATTTGATGCGCTGATTTTGAATCTGAACTTGTTATGAGTATTAAGTAAAAAATTCTAAGTGAAATTTAATTTACAGGGATAAATCATGAATAAATTTGTTATGAACAAATGTAATATGAATTTAAAATATCATACAGCGAAACTAGCATCTCAAAAAAGAGAAGCAAGAATTTTTTTTTAAATTTAAATTTACGTTGAAAGATACCGATTCAACTGTACGTATTTGTAAAATTAGTAAAGACGATTGTTATCTGGTTGTCAATTTTATATTTGCAAAAGAAATAACTTGTGAATTCGTTATTTGATTATCATTTAAATTCTATCTGTTAAATTGGTAAACTGATTTTGAATAATGTGTTCCGTATGTCATAAATAATAATTTATGTAAAAAATTTCTATGATTTTATTTTCAATTTTGTCCTCTTCGTTTAATTAATTTCATTTGTTTATAACTTTGTAAGGTGATTTTTTCTCGAGAAGCAATTTATATTATGAAATTCAGCGTTTTCAATGCAATTTTTTATATTATAAACTTTTCACTTCACGTTTGCGATTTCACAGGAAAACTTATTTTAGGATTATGCAAATTTGCGAAAACAACATTATGAAAGCAACCCAGCATGAAAGGGGCTTTTTGCAGAAGTATAAATTTGCTCATTTGTTGGGGACGTGAGCAAGTAATTAAATTATTGACAATTCAAATATTAGTGAACAATCTTTTATTTTGCGCACATGCGCATCAACACTTCGATATTATGCCGTACAACAGAGAAGTTGTGTCACGTGTGAAACTCACGCGGACGCACTGCACAGCAGAACAGACTTTAGTTTCGCTCGCACTTGTATACACAGATGGAGAAGTCTTTCTTTTCTCTCTCGCTGTCGAAGCATGACTGACTCTCTCTAGAATGGTTAGTTCTCCTCTGCAACCGTCCCTCCCAGATGGACCTCTTACCCTTTACGCACGAGGGCGGGGTCTTAAAATTTTCCGAGTTATTCCTATCCTCAGTCTTGCTCGTAGGTCACTGAGCGATCTCAAAGCAGTCCTTGGCTGCCTCGAATCGCAGTCAAAAACTTTCTAGTGGCTGAAACAGCTTTGGGAAAACGCGGTACTCACTCCCCCTAGCTGTAGCGTACGGCTCTGGCCATCGGTCACACAACCAGACGAACAAGGACTTGAGTAGGCATACCGAACTTTTTGTCGCTGTTTGCAGTTTTGAGACAACCAGTCTGTACATAATTTCGAAGAAATAGGCATCGCACGATTTTGTGGCACTTTGAGGGTAAATTTGCCAAACTTTGAAGTTTTATATCTCAGCAAAAAAGAGTCGTAGAATAAAAAACTTCACGCCATTTTAAAGGTAATAGCAAAAGCTTTAAGTAACGTAAAGATAATATTGTTTGTACTAGAATTAAGTTTTTTATGTTTAAAACATGAACTGAAATAATTTCTTTTTTTTTTACCCATACACAATTTTATTTATTTGCTACGCAAATCAGCGGATCATTGAAAATCTAAGCAAAATTAAAAGGTGGATTGTTCCTCTTTAAAATAAGAAGGGCAGAACTCATTTCTGATTTTTTATACAGAGATATAGCTTATTTTATAAAAAATTTTTTTTGTTTTTTCATCAGCTCACATCTCAATTGCTATGTTGAATAAAAAAACTTTAAAAACAAAAGTTGTTTCTTTTTTGGTAAAGAATACAAAAATAAAGTGAAAACTAAGATCTGGAATACATTTTATTTTCATTTTTTCACGCTAGCCATTTGTTTATTTTTCATATTCCTTATTTTTTTGATATTTAATTATAACCAAAAGTCTCAAACTAATTTTTAGTTAAGTTTACCAATAACTTAATAATGCAACGGTAGTCGATTCGATCAATCGATACGTTCGAGACTCGGTAGCACTCGCGATGCTAGAGCGAACGTCTAAGAGAGAGAGGGGGCGCGCGAGAGTTCAAAGATTCAGTTAAGCCTCAGCTGTTACTTGTGAAAGTAACGTCAATTAGTTTTCAGTGTTTCGCCGTTTTGCTATATAAAGTTGTTTCCTGGGATTTTGGATACGTGCGCGAATGATACCGAGGAAGCTGATTAAAAGCAGCAGCAACTAAACCGTCAAGCAAAACAACAGCAGATTGATAGCGAGATGAACCGGCGCAGCCTTACCAGAGACAAAACCATTGGCTGTGAAGAATTTCTTCAACAATTACAACTGATCACCGTAAAGGCACCGTAGGGTAGGTGCACCTTCCTTTTTCTGCGCGACAAAATACTAACGAGAGTATTTTGTCTATCACGACCGTTTGTGTGTTCACGCCGAGTGTTAGTTTTCGTGGTAGAATCTTGAATTCCCTCTCTCTCTCTTCCCGTATTATTGTTATAAATTGTAAATCCTATTCACGTGCGTTAGTCTTTCAGCTCATCAAAGACTGTAATTTTCTAGTCATAAACGATATTAATTTTATTCGTCGCATTATGTTATTTCGTTTCCTATTAGTTTAACGGATCTATCAGGGGTTAAATTTTAAACCGATTTCATCTAGGGGATAAGTTGGAATAAACATTAGGTCTCTCACACCTAAGATAGATCGAGTATCACAAGTCAGGTGACTTAACCCATTTCTTCCCAATCGACCATGAGACTACCGATTGGTTTATCGTCTTGTAAAATGGGTAGAATCAAAATTTAGCGATCCAAAAACAATATGGCTGCTCAAACTTAATGAAAATTTCATTTTTTATTTTAACTGAATTTTCTTTTTTTTTCGAGTAAAGTATGTAACGTATACATACTAAACAATTTTATTTCACTATCAGTATGGTTGTAGGACTTCTGTTATCGATTATTGATATTTTTGAAAATCCAAAATTCAAAATAGCTGACGAAAAATTGAAAAATTCTGAAAAATGAAGGAAAATAAGAAAATTTATATTTCTTGTGTTTTTGAGGGTGCTGATTTGATATCTGGTGTTGATTTTTGAAAATTCTTGCACCGAAAATAAATATGGCGCATTCATAATGGCTGCCAAATTGAATTATTTCAAAAAATCAAAGTTTTTCGCCAAAATACATTCTCTTTGCATTTTTAAGGGTGCTGATTTGATATTTTATGTTACTTTTTGAAAATTCTTGCATCGAAAATCAATATCGAGCACTCGAAATATCTGATAAACTTAATTTATTTTATAAATATATTTTTCTAGCGAAAATCCACAGGTTTAGCATTCATTAATTTTCTAAATAATAAAAGTTACAATAAAATTATTTTAAATCATATTTCACTTATAAAACGGCCGCGAGGTGGCGAACAGTCATTTTTTTGTACCTGCAGTAAAATCTGCAATCCTAAATCAATATAGGTACCTGATATTTTCCGCAAATTTGTATACTTAAAAAAAATAAACTACAAAATTTATATTACTATTGTATTACAATAATAATAGTTTATATAAAAACTTCGACTATTACTGCGATTGATTTATTATAATATTTTTGAACTTCATAATATTATAATTTTGAATAGCTTTACAAAATAACATCTGGTGTAAAGTATGCCAAAGAAAAACGCAAAGTAATCCGACAGTAGCATTACTGTTCAAACTACTGAGCTTATGGATTTAGATTCCGATCATGTTGACGGAACAGATAAAACGTTATCTAATTTACCCGAAAGTTTATTTAGAAACGTTGCTGTAATTCCTGATGATATTGGAAGTGAAGATGAATCAAACAATGAAAACGATTCAGCTGAGAGTGTTCAGATTATTGAAGGACGCAATTGTCCAGAAGGGTATCAAATAGTTGACAAATCCCTCATTTCTTCAAATAAAAAACTAGAACCTTCACATGAGTATGTATGGAAAGATGGAGAAAAATTTTATGATTCGATACCAAAATTAGAAATATTTTTGGATGAG